TAAATACTTCGCAAATCTCGAGAAAAACATGCTGAAAAGAATTTTTTTACATAAACTTATTAAAGAAACAAAATAAAAAACTGACAAAGAAGAAATTCTTAGAAAAGAAAGGTAACTCCATGAAACTTTAACAAGATAAAATATTCTGAAGCTTCAGAAATAGATTTTTTAAGTATATTCATTAAAGCTGTAACTGAAGAAGAAAAAAAAAGAAAGAGTTTAAAATGCACATGAAATAAACATAGCTTTAAAAGAAATGCAAAACGATAAAAGCCCAGGCTCTGATGGCTTGACAATAGAGTTTTATAAAATGTTTTGGAACGACTTAAAAGAATATTTCATAAAATCAACCAATCATTCTTTTTTAATAGGTAACTTAAATACACTTCAAAGACAATGGATTATATCACTTATACCAAAAAAAACCAAACAAGGATTTCAAAAGTTTATTCAACTGGATACCAATTGGTTTATTAAATGTTGACTATAAAATTGCTACAAAAACGATTTTTAATCGATTAAAAATAGTTTTACCTTCGATCATAAGTTTTAATCAATCTGGATTTATAAAAGCAGATTCATTGAGGAAAACGTTAGACTTATTTTTGAATTTATTGAACTATTTCAAGAAAGAAATGAACCAGGTTTGTTATTTTTTGCTGATTTTGAAAAAGGCATTTGATAGTCTTAGCCACAATTTTAAGAAACTTTTAATATACAGAGAGATGTGAGAGAAGGATGCCCATTATCATCGTCCTTGTTTATTATCTGTCTTGAAATATTGTCAAATTATATAGAAAATGATCGCGATATCAAGGGAATATATATTGAAGGAAAACAAATTAAACCAAGTTTTTTTTGCTGATGATGCATCATTTATAAATTATGGTACACAAATGTCTTTTAAACAGCTTGTCTCTGTTTTAAAGAATCTTAGTCTTATAGCAGGTCTTTATCTTAATACATGTACTAGAAAATTAACAATATTAAGAATTGGATCACTTCGTAATAAAAGTACAATATATTGTACAAGTTACAACTTTAAATGGTCATCAGAATCGGCAAAAACATTAGGAGTTACTTTTTCAACAGATAACAAAAATATATTTAAAAATAATCTTGAACCAAATTTGAGGAATTCTACAACTGCTTGAAAAAATGGGAACATAGAAAAATAACTTTGATAGGTACTGTTATCAAGACATTTGCACTACCAAAATTAATATATCCTTTTGCGGTGTTAGAAAACCCGCCAGAATAAAAATCAAGGAAATAGAAAATGCAATATTTCATTTCATTTGGGAAAGAAAACCATATAAAATTAAACGAAATATTATTAAACAGAGTATTGAGAATGGGAAACTTAACTTTACAGACATTTCATACTTTCTAAAATCTTTATAAGCAAGTTGGATCAAAAGATATTTAAATCAAGAAAACCATAGCTTATGGAAATTATTTGTTAAAATAAATTATTAAAGTATGGAAATGAACTCATTTTTGAATGTAACATTTCAAAACAAGATGCTGATAATCTATTTCCACACACAAGTTTTATCAATAATATGCTAAATGCATGGATTGAAATAAAAAGTACATATTTAACAAAAAAACATCTCTTATAAAGACATTATTAGGAATAACTCGGATAAAAAATAGATGGTAAACTTGTATTTTATGAAAATTGGTTTTCTAAAGGAAAATAATTCTTAGAACACTTATATGATTTTAGAACAGGAACATTTTATAAATTCGAAGAATCTAAATATTTGTATGGCATCAATAATACAGATTTCTTAAACTATTATATGCTTATTGGAAATATATCTGACACTCTTATCAACAAGTTAAAAAAATATTGAAATAAACAATGTTTCCTTGCAACCTTTTATACAAAATGTTATACAATAAACTTTTGTGATATGCAAATGAAAAATGGAAACTGTCAAGGGAAAAAAGTTATGAAACTAAATGGGAAGAAAATATACAAAAGCATACTGACTGTTAAAGATATATCAACTACCTTTTAAGAGCACATTAGATGTCACATTAAGAAATTTCCAGTATTAATTCCTCCATAGAATTATACCAACTAATACTTTTCTTTGACACAAATTTGTGCGATTTTTGTCATAATAGCATTGAAAATATTGACCATCTTTTCTGGGAATGTACAAAAATATAAAATATTTTGTCAAAGCTACACACGTTACTAAACTCAATTGGATTATGTAAAGATAAATAGGAAGCGCATAAGACAAAATGGAATATTTTTGAAACATATAATTGTCGAATAAATCAAGAGTAAAATAATGCTTAAAGAAAACTAATATGATTTGCATAAATCACTAAACAAAATGATTTTGAGCATGAGAGAGCGTGCGTGAGTGCTTGTGTATGTATGTGTATGTGCGTGCGTGTCTGTGACTGTGTGTGTCTGTGTGTGCATGTAGTGTGTGTTTACATTATTGTTTTAGAATTGAATAATTATTAAAATGGAATATGTTATGTAAAATACATGTAACAACAGTGTGTTAACTTGACTGTTTGTAATTCAAATATGAAAGAACATAATAAAAAATTAAATAAAAATAAAAATAAACTTAAATTTGAATTCGAAAGTTATACAAATGAAATATCTGTTAATCATCTCTCCATACCGTCAATGCAGTAATAAATATGAATATAAATATCTTTCTGAGACTTCTTTATATATACAAGGCAGTCTGAAGGATATTTTTATCCTCTTCCGCAGCGAACATGCATGTGAACCATGACCTTAATGTCGTGCCATGCATATTATGAGCACATAGTCTCATAAAAGTAATTATTTGTGCCAAGTTATTTTAAATATTCCATAAAGTGAAAAAGGTTATTGAGAACATTAAACCTCGACTTTGAGGGTAACAACCTGAATGTTGGGTTCTGCACATTGTGGTGATAATTTCTGCCAAGTTATATTAAAAGCATTGCAGGGGCTTAAATGTTATGAAGCGGACACGAAAATGTAGACTTTTAACGGTTGACCAGAAAGTGTGATTTTGACTGCTGGTAGCAACCCAATTATTGCGCTCTGCACATCGTTTCATAATGGTTTCATAATGGTGATCACTTGAGCTAAGTTATTTAAAAATCAGAGGTTTAAAATTTATGGAGCGGACACGAAAGTGTAACGGACGGACAAACGGACGGACGGACTGACAGACGGATGCCATTCTTATAGTCCCCTCCACTTTTTGCGGAAGGGGATTAAAATTTCAGACTACATGTAGTAGTAATGTCAGCTATATTATAAATATATGCACATTGCGCATACTCAATAACATGTTTAGTCAGTACCTCGATGTTAGGGATTTTAGGAGAATAAATTTACATCTTGTAGAGTATACACGTGTTTGTGTTATATCACTTTTTTGTGAAGTCTACTTGATTATTATAACTCCCAACAACAAAACTTATGTAGTTTCAACAGTGCATTTAATCAACAGTTAATTAATACCACCGAATCTTAGCAGTATTTCATGTTCTTCTCAGTTTATATACTAGATTGTATGTTTTTAAATGAACGTACAATTGTGCATGACTTACATAGCTTTTTTTTTAAAGTTTGCTTCAAAGAAACATGCTTTTTCATTCCGGTCAACAATTACAGGTACTTTGTAAAATGTATATTTTATCCCATGTTCTTATGTCATTCAATATATCTGGTTTCCTAGTGTTCCTAATGTATGTTTTGTTGACCAAACTTCTGTCTTATATATTATTGTGCACAGGCTACCGATTTGCAGAAGACCACAACAAGACTTCTTGTTGGAGCGATAGACTTTGGAACGACCTTCTCCGGCTGGGCCTTTTCTTTTAAACATGAATATGAATCGGATCCGACAAAAGCAACGACAAAACATTGGCTGCCGAGATCAGGAACGTTAATAACAGAAAAAACACCGACATGCGCATTGGTAAATCCTGATGGTAAAACACTGAAAGCGTTTGGGTACGATGCCGAAAACGAATATAGAGAATTAATTGATAAAGGAGAAGATGCAAATTACTATTTCTTTAAACGGTTTAAAATGCAACTCTATTGTAAGATTGGCAAAATAAGTTATTATATATCTTGATATCATATCATCACATTCAAAATCCTTTTGATAAGTTTTTGTTGAATTATCTTAATTAACTATTATTTGTCCCAATATGCCCAGTAGTAACTACATAAGCTACATGTTGCAGGACGACCTGGGCGAGTAGAATCTTTGACTTGCTGCTAACCGGTTTTAAATTTAGCAACCCTCCTTCAAATAGATCTGTTAGACATTTCACTCTCCCCATAAATGTCGCACACCTCACGGTGCATATCATCTACAGGCTTTATGCCCTTTTATATAAGCCCTAATTTCAAGTACATCTTTTGCTTTTCCACCAGTCATTTCATGTATAGTGTAATGGATACGTTATAAAGCAATGTACACTGTATCAAGGCCAGTGAAATTGTGAACGAGATTTTCACCTGTGTAATGCTTTAGTGATTATTTTATCGGTCCGAAATGGTTAATAGTACATATCACACGGTTATCACGAGATAATGCACAAAAGAGGTTATTTTTGTAACACCCCTCGTATTGGTCGGCTTTTGTGATTCAATCACAATTAGCAGAAAACCTGAATAAAACTATAAATAAACAAATTTCCATTGTAAGCTCACAATGGACACTTAGTGATTATATTTTTCTCCTTTTTACCATTTTTTCCCTTTTTTACTTACAAAATGTTTTCTGTATCTTTTCTTATTTATTTCCCTATGTTACGACAAAAATTATTAAAACAATCAAATGAAAAACGACACTTCAAACTTTGAGTGTGTTAACGACATGTTTGTTTTACTAACATAAATGTAGTAGTTTAAAGTTAAGATTGTTAAGATTATATGTTTATATATTCTAAAGCACAGTGTTTTATCAGATTTATTTCAGTTATTACTATGTAAAAAGAAAATTGTCTTCTTCAACCAGAAGATATGTGAATCAATAATGTTCATTCAAATTGTAGACAAACTCTGCTTACATTTTAAAATTTTATTTCAGGACCTAAAAAGAGATATGACTCTCGAAGACGAATTTGGCAAACCTCTGTTAGCAGTTGATGTCTTTGGCATGTCAATCATGTTCTTGGTAGATGACATGCTAAAAAGTGCTAGCAAGGGAATAGATGGCATCATCAAACCATGGGAAATTCACTTGGTTGTAACAGTTCCTGCAATATGGTCAGATGCTGCCAAGCAGTTCATGCGTGAAGCTACCAAAAGGGTAAACAGAATAGAATAGAAGTTTTATTAAAGATTTAAGCATACAGCTCATCGTCAATGTAAAAGTAATACAGAATTTTATAGACTTTTATAGAAATGATTCTCACGAGCATACAAGTTTTGACACCTGATGTTACTGCTTTCGGGTGATATCATTTTGTCAATCCTTAATGCTTAAATCGCCAATGAAATTGAGGAAAACTGATCTCTTGTTATTTTCTTCTTTGAAAAGTCCACGGAATCCGAGATTTGTGTTTAATTTGATGTAGGTCTGAGTCAGTAACTTGTGTGCAAATTTTCAGATCATCATCTTATCCGGTTTTACCGTTTTTTTCAGAACCATGAATGACTTTATTGTGCGAAATGTCCCAAAAATGAGATCCTTTTAACTCCATATTAAAATATATAAAATATATTCATTAAGATGGTGTCTCTTAAGATATTCTGCATGATTGTCTATCACTTAAAGCTAGTAAACACTCTGGTAACGGCACACATTAGCATTCAGATCTTTTAAACTTCATTATTGTTACAAAAAAAAATATAAACTATAATCGCTTAATATTTTCTTAGGCTGGTATATGTGAAGATCGACTAACTATTGCACTCGAGCCCGAAGCGGCTTCGTTGTATTGCAGGCATTTGCATATTCATAAACATGGTGATCTTCGCAATGAATCCATGAACAAGTTACCAATGGGTACCAAATACATAGTTGTTGATGCAGGAGGTATTGTTCTTTTAAATATCATTGAATATTTTCAATTTACATATACATAGGCGTCACGTAGGCAATCATATCAATATTAAAAAAGACATTTCTCTTCCGATGCAGAAATATTTTGTTACTGTTAATAAACCAATGTACTGATACTGCTGGATATAGCCATAAGTTTAGGGTTTTTATTGACGCTCTTTGCTTTTGGTGAGTCAGTTAATTTGGTCACCCAAAAAGCAGACGAGTGTTATCATCAAAAATTGTTCCGTTGTGGTGTACGTTGTGATTACATTTTCTGAATCATAAACTTAAATAGATAAACATTAAAAACTAAAACAAATATTTGTTTCACAGATTTTAAAACTTGTTATAGCTTATTGTTTTAGGCATTAAATGAATAATCATATTTTGAAAAGAATGATATGCATAAATTATTTACGAGGTATGATAAAAAAAGTTCTCGACCCGATATACTTCTAGCCACTACACTGAGATTTACCCACGATATGTCGATACCGATATCTTATTAAAGATTACTGACCGAGTTACACACGGTTTAACACAGATTAAGTAACATAAAACACACATTGATCAATAGACGGGTGTTTCATTTAGAACAAATGGAGAAAGTTGAAATCAGAACCGTCATTAAGTGCATTTGTAAGAAAGAGATATCCCCCAAGGAAATCCAGGAAAATTGAACGCCGCCTTTCCTTGTTGATCTTGTTTATCATATTTCATAGATACACTTGGGAAGAAGTCCACTTCCTTTATCATTTTAAAAAAATGGGCTGCTGAAATTAAGAGGGACAGGGTGAGCATAGGAGAGGATAAGCGGCCTGGGCGGCCAAAAGAGACCACCAACGATGAAACATCCGAAGCTGTGCACGATCTGGTCATGTGCGACAGAAGGCGAGACCTGCGAATCATTGCTAGGGAAGTGGGTGTAAGCTTTAGTTCAGTTCATGCAATTCTGACTGATATCTATGGCATGTCAAAGGTTTCCGCTAGATGGGTCCCCAGATAGTTAACTGACGACCAGAAACGAACCAGACTTGACATTAAAATAACTCAGGATAAAACATGGGTCTATCACTTCTATCTATAATCCAAAAAACAGAGCATGCAGAGGAAGCACCCTGGCTCATAGTCAGGGGATTTTCATGATTGACAATCTGAGCAAGGTCGTACCATAAACGGTACGTACTATGCAGACAAATTTAGACGTCTGCGTCAAGACATCGCGCGTAAAAGGAGGGGCAAACTGACTTAAGGGTGTTCTGCTCCTACACGACAATGCACCAGCTCACACATCCCAAGTTGCGATGGCTGCTGCAACTGACTGCGGCTTTGAAATTCCTCCCCATCCCCAATATTCTCAGGACTTGCCCCCCTCTGACTCTTCAGCCTGTTTCCGAAACTGAAAACGTTTCGTGGTAGACGTTTGGAAGCAATGAAGGTGTCCCGGAGGCGGCCAATGAGTTCTTTGAGGACCAAAAAAGAGAGTTCTATTTTGAAGTTGGATCACATGTGGGCAAAGTGCATTGATATAGAGGGTGATTATATTGAAAAGAAAGACCATAAGTTGGGTTTTCTGAGTACATCGGTCTAATAACTTGATCAATCCTCGTTTTATTACATGCTTTTCGGTAATTTATAGAAATATATCAGTGAAATAAAAACTGATAATTTCAGTGTTTTAAACAGTGAAATTATCAATTTGATAATTTCTCTGTTTTGAATAGTTGAGCCCGCTACGTTGTTTCAGTGAAATACAAGCGTTCACAGTACTTGAAGCCAGTAAATGACGTCACGTTGTATTATTATTTAGCGCCCTTTTCTTTAAGTACTAGATTGAAATGTCTTTTTAAACGTTTCTTTGCATATAATAAAAAGAAAATTTGTTTAGTTTAATGTAAGATCGAAATATATTTCACCTCGTGAACACCAAAAGTTCATATTTCACTCGTGGCTGCGCCACTCGTGAAATACACCTTTTGGTGCTCACTCGGTGAAATATATTCCGATCTTACACTGAACTAAACCAATTTCCTCTATTTATTACATCAAAATCAATGATATCACATGTGAAAATATATGTTTTATTTTCTAGGAGGAACAATAGACGTAGAACTCTGTACTTCATTAGCATCTTCTCAGTATGCTGGTCTGATTGAGCTTAAAAGGGATAAAATGAAGATTTCTAACAAAGTCTTTGTTCAATTATTCGACAAGTCTGTGACAAAGACGGTTGGTCATTTGAAGTCTGTGTTATCTGACGGCTCACTGCAAGATGTGAGAGTTTTGCTGATGGTTGGTGGTTATTCAGAATCACCAGTTTTACGACATGCAATATTGGAAGCATTGCCGGAAATTGAAATCGTTATACCTGTCGAGGCTTCATCGGTCGTATTAAGAGGTGCTTTAATATATGGACACAATCCTTTATCAATAACTGAAAGGATTCTGAAGTATACCTATGGTACTAGTCACACACCTATTTTTATAGAGGGAGTTCATCCAGAGCACAAACGATTCGAAGCAAACGACAATAGCATAAGATGTCGTGATGTCTTTGATAAACTTATAACTACTGGGCGAACAGTGAAGACGGGCGAAACACAAGTAGCAAATACATATTGTACAATTTCCAGTGATATGAAAGGTATGTTGTTTAATATCTATGCTTCAGAGAGAGAAGATCCAGTTTGCACTGATGATGATGGATGCTTTGAGATAGGAAGACTAGAGATAGAGTTAGATGAAGTTAAAAATACGAGTAAAAGAGATGTTTCACTATATATGTTATTTGGCGGGACAGAAATCATCGTTGAGGTCGAAGACAAATGTACTGGTAAGAAGAAAGCAATCTCTGTTGATTTCCTTAGGTAATTTACTAAAAAAAGTTTGGAAATACATTGCCAGTATTATTATATGATATATCGCATCGAAGGTGATATCAATCACAAAAGAACTGTTTTAAACGTATTATGTAATGTGAATTTTAGTGATATGCGATTGTTATTTATGTGCTGAAATGTAATTATTTAACCAGAAAATTTGCACTGTTGAAACCAATTAGTGAGTTATAGTCACCAAAGGAGAATAGTGTTACGTTTCAGAACATTTAGCTAAAAACAAGAGAAAAAATATATTTAGAATGACAACAAATTGGTTATCGAACGTGAAAACGAGTAAACGTTACAACAAGGCTGTTAAGATGTATTTTAAAAATTTAATTGTAATATTTGTCTGATCATTCGAGATCATTGATTCAAGGACATTTAATAAGTGTTGAAGATTGAACGACATTAAATCAGTTCAAGGGTAAGTGAGGGATGTTGCAATTTTTTACCATCCCTCATGTACAGACTTGATCAAACCAACTATTCCATTTTCATATAATTATGTTGTTTTCATTGCTTCCGAGGGATTACCTTTTTTAGTATAACAACTTTTGATGGTATTTCTTTTCTCTCTTACACTTTATACATTTTTGAAACTTTGACGGTGTTAACTTTAAGTAACAGTAGATATTAGGACTTAAAAGGTCAACTTCATGATATTTGAATAATAGTCAATAGGTTTTAGCTTACCTGGAAACAAAATGCTGAAGGTGAGTTATTACGATACCCCTTTGTCCAGCATCCGTTGTACGGTGTATGTCGTCCGTCTTTAACATGTTTCTTAAACGACATCTCCTCCTTAACCCCACATCAGTTGTGATGAAACTATACAGGAATGATCTTGGATGGTCCCCTCTAAATTGCTCAAATGCACCTTGTCTGCTGAACAAGATTGCCACTAGTGTTTAAAGTAGAAAATAAAGTGTTAAATGACATTTTGTCATCAACCTCCCCCATAAGATTTTTATGAAACACTACAATAAATGATCATTGGGAAGTCTGTCACTAAAATGCTAAATTTTGCCTGCCGAACAAGATAGCCGAGATAAAAATAGAAAAAGACTTTAAACTAGATCTACTAAATTATGTAGTAAATTTTAATGAATATTTACAGGCATTATCCTTGAATAGCTTTCTATACAAACTGCTCAAATGGTCCCAGTCTGCTAAAAAGATGGCCACAAGATCTAAAAATAAAAAAAAAAACCCATTTAAATGACATCTCCTGCTAAACTATTGAGTAAGTTTTGATGAAACTAAATAGCAATGTCCTTTGATAGTCGTCTATGGTAATTCCTCAAATGCACGCCAGGGTTAAATAGAGAAAAGGTGTTATATGACATTTTATTTCATGCTTTTCAGTGTTTTATTGTAATATATCAGATAATTATTTTCTGATAAACCACTTGTGAAATTTATCAAATATAATTTTCACTGTAGCCGGACAATATCTGAATGTGGGTGAAAAGAAAATCATAACTAAATGGAATAACAGGCAGAAATAAATGCTGTCCTACGTAAATTTTCCTTCTTTAAGAAACGAAAGTCGATGTCATCATACATCATATTAAAAATGTAACACAATTAGAGAAATTTTACTAAACTATATTTCAAAATTGATGATGTAACGTCATGATGTGATGACGTCACAAATGAGAATGCACGACGTTACGCGGCAAAATCAGAAAAAACTACTTTAAATCACCTAAAAGCATGAAATACAAAAGAAAATTTATTTGTTTTACATATAAGATTGAAATATATTTCATTCGTGAACACCAGCTATACTATTTTTACTCGTGGCTACGCCACTCGTAAAAATATTGCATCTGGTGTTCATTCAGTGAAATTATATATCAATCTTACATGCAAAAAAAATATCCTCTATACTTCGGTATATCTTCCACCGTCGTCAATTTTTGACAAAATTCTAATGATATGATCATTGGAAATTCCTTTTTAGCTCACCAGAGCCGAAGGCTCAGGGTGAGCTATTAGTATCAAAGGGGGTTGCTCTGGCGTCCGTCGTCCGTCGTCATGCGTCAACAATCGTCTTCTTCTCTGAAACTACTAAGCAGATTTACTTCAAATTTGGTCTGTAGCATCCTTGTGACAGTCACACTTGAATTTGCTCATGTCATTCCTTTTAGGGGTCAGCAGAGCTAAAAATAGAAAAAACCTTTAAACATCTTCTTCACAGAACTAATTGATGAATGATCACCAAACTTTGTCTGTAGCATTATTGGGTAGTCTTTTAACAAGATTGCTCATATTAATTGGATTGGCCCCTTTTAGGGGTCTCTAGGGCTAAAAATAGAAAACCCTTTAAACATCTTCTTCTACAGAACTAATGGATGGATGATCACTAAACTTTGTCTGTAGCATTCTTAGGTAGTCTTTTATCAAGTTTGCTAATATTATTTTGACTGGTCCCTTGTAGGGGTCTCTAGGGCTAAAAATAGAAAAACCTTTAAACATATTCTCCTACTGAACTCATTGATAAATTATCACCAATCTTTGTCTGTAGCATTCTTGGGTAGTGTTTTATCAAATATGATAAACAAGAATAACAAGGAAAGGCGGCGTTCAAAGAACGCAACCCCCATACGACCCAGCAACAAGAACCAGTGGCAAGGAGCCCAGACGGACCCCAAACAAAAACAGGACAGGGCACAAGACAGAGCTTGGACAGGTTAATCACTAAATGATAAATAAATTGAAACTGATAAGGAATTCATAGAAACCAAATACTAGTAAATGATTGTATAATAGGCCCACAAAGTCAAAGGGCGCAGGAGAAGGGGACAGGAGACCGGGGGAAGGGGGGTGTTAATCAAAGAAATAAAAACTAGGGGTAAAGGGGGTAGATACTTACCGTAGACGAGAAAACAACAAGGGACACAAGCAAAAGTGTCACCAAAACATAGACATACATCTGAGGAACAAAGAGGGGCACCGCCCTTTAAACGGTCAGCAGCATAATAAAGACTGCTGGGGAGTTTAAACCGGTCAATGGTGCACCAAACCTCGCTCTTAGCCCCACCCTGTTCCTATAAACGAGACAGTGTAAATAAAATTAATCCCCGCCAAGTGAAATTCTAACAGTTGTCATGGTTACAAAAGGTTAAATAAGTTAAACACCAAAATGATCATGTAGAAACATATAAAAGTAAACCCAATGACCATAACAAAAGTACTCAATGTCCTAAAGGAAGACAGAGCAACAAGAAAATCACCTACAAGGGCCCGACGAAGCAAGGCAGAAGACGAACATTAAGACAATTCAGTCCCAAAGGGTTTTAAGAACTGTCCACATGGTCCGTCAGATGTAATCAAAAGACGAAAGCGTAGTGTCCAACTGTAAAAGGGTTGAACACTAAACATGCAGTATGTCTTAAAATAGTAGGGTCATAACCTTTTTTTAATAAAACGTTTAATGATTTTAATGAAAACAGCAGGAAAATTACCATGACCCAAAATCTTACGAAGTTTGTAAATCACATCGCCATATAAACCAGGCTGGTTAATCCCTTGTCTAAATCACTATTGAATTTAGAAATTAAATCAAAGTTACGATTGTAAAATTTAGTAAAATATTTCCGATATTTATGATAGCGGTAGCCCTGCTTTAGAAGCTTGTTGGTAATAAAAATATTCCGCTCGTTGCTCATATTAATTTGATTGGCCCCATTTAGGGGCCGATAAAGCTAAAAATAGAAATACCATTAAATGTCTAATCCTACAGAACTAATTGATGGATGATCACTAAACTTTGTCTGTAGCATTCTCGGGTAGTGTTTTTCAAGTTTGCTCATATTAATTTGATTGGCCCCTTTTAGGGGCCACTAAAGCTTAAAATAGAAGTACCGTTAAGAGAACTAATTGATTGATGATCATCAAACTTTGTCTTTAGCATTCTGGGGTAGTGTAGTCTTTTATCAAGTTTGCTTATATTATTTTGATTGGCCCATTAAGGGGCCGCAAAAGTTAAAAATAGAAATACCTTTTAATGTCTCTACAGAAGTAATTGATGGATGATCACCAAACTTTGTCTGTAGCATTCTTGAGTAGTCTTTTATTAAGTTTGCTGATATTAATTTGATTAGCCCCTTTAAGGGGTCTCTATAGCTAAAATAGAAAAACCTTTAGACATCTTCTACAGAACTAATTGATGGATGACCACCAAACTTTGTCCGTAGCATTCTTGGGTAGTCTTTAATCAAGTTTGCTCATTTGATTGGCCCCTTTTAGGGGCCGCGTAAGCTAAAAATAGAAGTACCTTTAAATGTCTATTTCTACAGAACTAATGAATGGATGGATGATCACCAAAATTTGTCTGTAGCATTGTTGGGTAGTCTTTTATCAGGTTTGCTCATATTATTTTGATTGGCACCGTTTAGGGGCCGCTAAAATTAAAAATAGCTAAACGTTGAAATGTCTATTTGCTACAGTACTAATTGATAGATGATAACCAAACTTTGTCTGTAACATTCTTGGGTAGCTATTATCAAGTTTGTTCATATTAATTTGATTAGCCCCTTGTAGGGGCCGCTTAAGCTAAAAATAGAAAAACCTTTAAACATCTTCTACTACAGAACTAATTGATGGATGATCACCAAACCTTGTCTGTAGCATTTTTTGTCAATCTTATATCAAGTTTGCTCATATTAATTTGATTGGTCCCTTTCAAAAACCTTTAAACATCTTCTACTTCAGAACCAACTGATGGATGATCACCAAACTTTGTGCACCAGGTCATGGCATTTCTTCACATTAATGTTTAAACATATTCTATGCTCAAATTTAATATGAGAATATATTGACATTCTAACACTGAAAAACAGTTGTTTCTGGTGAGCGACTCAGGGCCATCATGCCCCTCTTGTCTAAAATTTTACCGGTGTGCTGAATAAAATTACTGCCAGAATTAAAAAAGAAAAACAAAACAACCCCCCCCCCCAAGCAAACAAACTTTTAACCACATCT